CTCATATCAGACAGGGAAAAAAAAAAAAACATATATAGAACTTATTTTGAATAATACAGACAAGTAAGGTAACTCGGATTAATGATTTTAGTTTTTAAGGAAAAAAAGGCCAAAATAATTATCACTGTCCATCTATAGAGGCTATCTCACTTGTCGGCTATTGTAGCATGTGGGGGCTTCCTTACTTTGCTCAATTCAGCAGTAGCAGCAATGGAAGTAATCAGTAGGGAACAACCAGAAGTCCCAGAGCCCATAAAAATGCTGACCAAGTCCTATTCGACTTTTTCCCATTTTTCATTTTCAGCAACCTCTACCTTCGTGGCTTGATCTTTTCCATTTTTCCTTTACAGTCACCTCTACATTCAAGCCTTCCTCAAAAGGCTATTCAACCCTTGCTGCAGAAAACATGTGGCCCTGTCCTATCAACTTGACTCAGATTTTTCATTCCTCCTCTGGGAACATGCAAAGAAATCTCCCTTCAAGACACCTACCAAAGGAAAGACTACACACAACCCTTACTGCATAAAACTCACACCAGTCCTAGCAGTTTCATACTCAGATTTCTTGTTCCACCCGGGAGAACTAGTGGAGTAATCTCTCTACAAAAGAGCTACTCAAGAACTTTGTTAATTGGGAAACCCCACTTTTTTCTCGCAAAATACTACTACTATTATACTACTATTTGTGCTCACTTTCAATCAGAAATAAAAGCTGTTGAACAGTTATTTTGTGCCTTGGGTTTTGTTTATTCCCCTCTCACTGCCGAGCACACACAAACACACGCACGCACGCAACTGGGAAAAATTCCTAATACATCATCTATAGCAATCTACAATTCATCCATACATTGAATATTGTCACCACATCTAGTTTGGTGCTTATGCTATATATTTAGGGATAAAATCCAAAGAAGAATCTGCAATATTATTGGTCCTGACTTAGCATCTTGTCTTCAGTCATTTTCCTACCTCTGTAACATGGCTTCTCTATGCCTTTTCTATAATTACTTTTGTGCTAATTGTTCTGATGAACTTTCCTCTATGGTACCTAGACTCTATGAGTTTAAGCATATATCAAATCAGAACAAGACAAGATATCCCTAGACATGGACAGCAGAATGAGAAAAAATTATCTCGATAGATTAAATAAAAGGTTCAGTTTGAAATTCCCTGAAGGTTATTGTTCTGATAGGCTTTCCTCTTTGGTACTTAGACTTTATGAATTTAAGTGCATTACTAGATTGGCACCAAGGTCTCATTATTTTACAGTTGAAATGGCTTTATGTAACTGTAAGTTCTATGTTAACAGTTTCTTCTCTCATTCTTCTCACTTGTGGAACTTACTTCCTGCTTTTCAGTCAAATTTGATCTTCAGAAATTGTAGTTATCATCTGTTCTTTGATTGTTCTCTCTTCTTAGTAATTGTAATAAGAAAAGAGAGCAAGAGTAGGCTTAAGGAAGCTTTATTCTGCTTAGAATAACCGATACTGGCATAGTGACTATTTATAGTCCTTTGCAAATGAAAGAGTTCTCTAAAGGGAGGTAATCATAAAACACGTGAGATTACTTCCAATTACTTTATCACAGTAATGTTTTTATTCTCTGATATTCTCTGACACTCAGTAACCCCTTGTGGCTTTATTGACTTGTTTGAGGTGAAATGATTAAAAAAAGGTTATCTAGATAGACATCTGAAGAAGGCTAGAGGAAAAAATGGCCCAAATATTGTGATGTTAGTCTGAATGCAAATAATGATAATTCCTCATCACAAAAATTGAAGAAAATTACTTAATGCAAAAATATTTTAGAAGTTTTCTTTTGTATTCGAGTCAAGATTGGATTGGTCCTGACCTGGCATCTCAGCTTCAGTTCCTTTTCCACTGCCATAATGTAGCTTCCCTGTGCCTTTTCTACAAATACTTTCATGGTAATCGTTCTGATAAACTTTCCACTATGGTATTTAGAGTTTAAGAATTTAAGTTAGTACTAGATTGGTAGCAAAGTTTCATCATTTTACAGTTGAAATGGTTAGATGTAATCGTATGTTCTATGTTAACAGGTTATTCTATCACACTTCTTTGCTCATGGAACTCTCTTCTGGCATCTTGCTTCCAAGTCAACTTTGATTTTCAAGAATTTAAATGCAATTTCAATTGTTATATTCTCTTTTCTTAATTCTTGTTCTTTTATTGTGCATTTAATAGTTTTTCTCATATTCTCTAACACTCAGTAGCCCTTAGTGCCCTAGTGGCTTTATTGCCTTGCTTGTGGCAACTTTTTTTTAATCATTTCATCCCAAGCAAGGCAGTTATGCAGGGGGTTACAGGGAGTGAAAGAGAATGAAAAGATTGAGTATAGGGAGGATTGAGAAAAGCACAAAAGATGAACAGGATTCAAGAAGATAGGAGATGGTGATTGATGTTGCATTTAAATTTTTGAAAATTGTAGTTATCAAGGAAGCAAGGAAATGGAAGGGAGTTCCACAGGTGGGAAGTACGAGAAAAGAAACTGTTAGAGTAGAAGTGGTAGTTTCATTTAGCTAGTTCAACAGTAAAAGGGTGGCACCTCAATGCCAATTTCGTAGCACACTTAAATTCATGTAGTCAGGGCACCAGAGAAAAAATCTTGTCAGAGCAGTTGTCATGAAAATATTTGTAGAAAAGACAGAGGGAAGTCAGGTCATGTTGGTGAGAAATTGACTGGAGATACCAAGTCAGGCTCAATTACATTGTAGATCCTTTTAAATGATGAAAAAAGAAAAAAGAAAACAATCTGTTATTTTCAAATTAAAGGCACTTCTGTTTGGCATCACCGGTGCAATTCTGATACTTGGCTGTCACCAGTGCAAGATATCTCAAGTATAACAAAAAGCAACAAGTGTTACTGACAAAAAAACACTTGCCATATTATCCAAAGAGTTGCTGAAAAATTTTCAGCCTAGCCAAGGAGTAATTCAAAAAAGTTTTGATATCAGGAATCTTGAAGTATATTCACTCATTAAAAAAACTCATGATAGAGTTCTTGGGAAGAAGTTGTCTAAATGGAACTTCCTCCTTACCAATGGAATATGAAGGGAATGAGGACAATTCGACCCTGTGTAAGTGACATGGCAGTCTTAGATGTAAAGATCTGAATTGGTGGAACTAAGGAATAAAGCTTGTCAGAAAAATAGGGTATATCATGAGGAGTCAGATACTTTCTGGAGTGGTACAAGAAACCAACCAATTTTCCAGTCTCTTTAGTGATGGATCAAATAGATGAGGTCTTAGGTAAACTTGAATTCCAATAGACGTTCAAAGCAAGGATCCTAATTAAGAGTATAAAAAGAAAATAATAATATACTGAAGATTTGCTTGTCAATATTACAATGATCTTCATCCAGTACAAGGTCCAAGAGCCATCAAGTAGAAGGACTACAGAGTAAGAGGTACCACCCCCAGTAAAGCGATAATGCCACTAAGACACAAGGGGTAACTGGAAGTGAAAGAGAATGAGAAGACTTTAGAAAGAACTAGAAAGCTGATCCTAAACAGGAAACAAGGGATAAACTTCTACTCCTGTTCAAAAGACTAGGGAGGAGTGTGAACAGGACAATAAGTATATTACTATTATTTTATTAAAAGATTTATTCAGTTTTATTATTGCTGCCTTTTATTCCACTATATCGATGCTCTCTAATTGCTGTAGTCTTATGGTAAAAGCAACAGCAGGAATGTGAGTAAAACTACTAATAAAATACTAGTCATAGAGAAAAGTAGTGTAGTGGGATTGGCAAATAGGATTTTACCTATTTGCATATGTTGGTTATAGGATAAATAAAGTGTAGAGTAAAGAGTCAGATGACAGGAAGTTGACTACTGATCATGTGTCAGAAAACAACACTATACAACACATTTCCTTTTATTCCCATGTTTTATTAAATGCTTATAAAACACTTCAGGTTGTTGTGTTAAATAAACACATCTATCTATGTAACTGTTATGGAAACTGATCTTATAAGAGGAGCACTTAATGGCATAGACAGAATAAGCACAGAGTCAGCAACAATGTTTTTCCTAAGCCTAGGTGATCCCCTTACTACCTAACAGCAACCACTTTAAACTACAGCTAATAAAAGTAAGTGTTGCGATGGAGGAAGATCTTGACAAAAGAGAAATGATGAGTTCTTCAGATCAGGAAAATGTAATAGAAAATGAGTCTATGGATGATAATAGGAGTGACTCAGATATGGAAAAAAATGAAATGAGACCAAGATCTCCATTAAAAAGGACAAGACATAAACCATAAGTGGGAGAGGAGGAAAGCGGTTGGAGAAGTTCAAGAACAATAAAAGGCATTAAACCTCTTTGGTTCAGGGAGGTGTAGTGGGACTGGCAAATAGGATTTTACATATTTGCATATGTTGGTTATAGGATAAATAAAGTGTGGAATAAAGAGTCAGACAACAGGGAGTTGACTACTGATCACATGTCATAAAACAATACTATGCATCAAGCATATAGACTCAAATTATCATGATAAAAAGGAACAATATTTAGATTGAGAAAAACTAATAATAAATTTTAAAAAATTATAAATAGTTTATCCAAAAATTAAAAGAATATACTAACAATTTTACTTGAATGTTTAATAACCTTTATTTATTTTTATTTATAGATTAAGGCAGAAATGTTTAAGGCAAAATGTCTGACAGCTTATAGGGAATAAAAAAGAGTTAAAAGAAGGGGTGTTGGGAGGAAGATGTAGGACAAGGAAGTAGGAGGAGAATTAATAATTTGTAGTATAAGAAATGTGTGGAGTAATATATAGGAAAGAGAGAGTTGTTTTGCAGCTAAGGTAGTTCCATACTTCCAATTGGTACCAGAAGCTAGGATTTCAAAAACTATTTTCAAAGTTGGTAAACCCCAACCTTCCACTGGGAAAATTAATGCAACAGAATCTATCTACCTTAAATTGTCCAAGATATTAAAAAGAAAAACATTAGAGAGGGAAACAGAAAACAGAAAGTGGGTGGAGGAAGAGGAGGAGTTGAAAGGCATAAGATGAAAGAATGGAGATTATGAGAAAAGGAGATGCAGATGAGAAACTGAGAAAGAGAGATAATAATAAATAAAAAGTGTAGAAAGGAAAGAGAGGGAGAAAGTGAAAAAGAGTTAAAAAGCTGTAGAGAGAAACAAGAAAGGAAATGGGGGAGAGAAAGAAAGAGGAGAATGAGAGGAGAAAAAGAATAAAGCTAAAGTGCAGGAGAATGAGTCAGAAATGGAAATTATAAGGAGGAGGTTAAAAGAGAAAATAAGTGTAACAAGAGTAGAAAGAAGGTAAAAGTGGGAGGAGAAAAGCAAATGAAGTTAGAGAGTAAAGTCCTAAGAAGTAGGCGGAGAAGGGCAAATAAAGTAAGAGCAGAATGAGAAATGAAGTAGGAGGAGAAACGGCAAATGATGTAAGAGGAGAATGACAAAAGAAATGACAGGAGAAAGACAAAAGAATTAGGAGAAGAAAGGTAACAGAAGTGGGAGGAGAAATACAAAAGTGGGAGTTATAAAAAAGAAGTTAGAAGAGAAAGGCAAATGAAATGAAAGGAGAAAGGCAAATGAAGCAATTTTAATCATTCAGTCATATTGATTGCTATTGCTACAAAGTTTGACCATGTTTTTAAAAATCTGAGAATCATAATGGCAGACATAGAAGACCTTGTGAACAAGAATCTTTGATATATTTGGTTGATATTATTTTTTTTGGCCATTTATTTTTAATTTTATATCATTCTTTTAATTTTATATTTTGCCAATGTAAAACCAATGTCCATTGTAAGAAAACAAATGACTTGTATCTGAAGGCTTTGACTTAAATGTCAAATGTCACTTTTGAGGTCAGTTTTAACAGGTAAGCGTGCTGGCTTTCAATACGAGACAAACTTAATAGCAACAATAGCATTTTCTTAGTGACAGCTCTATGGTTAAAGAACTGAAAACAATGAAAGAACCAAAAGAAAGATTCAATCAGTGATAAAATCTGAATTCATAGACAAGAACTAAGCCGGAAGCTTCAGGTTAAAGTATTTCTGAATTGAATAAATATCCATAAAATAGAGCATAACATTAAATAATGTAATCATGTAATAATAATAAAATAACAACAATAATAATAATAAAATAAAATTATAATAATATAATAACGCAATAATAATGAAATAATAATAAAATAAAATATAATAATAATAATAATAATAATAATAATAATAATGGTAATAATAATACTTAAAAAAGAAAGCAAAGACAAATGCAACCAACCAGATATGGAAACAATGGCAAGATAAACCGCTTCATGGTCAATACTCTGCCTGAACCAAACAAGCTGATATAGACAAACCCAGTACCCATCAGTGGCTACGTATTGCAGGGTTAAAAGCTGAAACCCAAGGTTTTATTCTAGCTGAATGCTTGCTAACTAGAAATTACCAAGCACATATACTGAAAAACTGTGTTAGCCCAAAATGCAGATTCTGTGATAAATACCCAGAAACAATTAAACATCTTGTATCAGGTTCTGTAGTATTGGCAGCCACTGAATATAAAACTTGGCATGATATAGTGGGCCAATATCTACACTGGAAAATCTGCAACTTTTATGGAAAGGAAACTACAAGAAATTGGTATGAACACCACCCAGATCCGGTTACGGAGATATGAATGTAACAATTTTATGAGATTTTACAATACACACAGACAGAACAATCCAAGTTAATTGTCCAGATATTGTGCAAAGACAAAAATGTGCCTCCTTATTGACATGGCAGTCTCTGCAGACTTTAATGTATCTTTGGAGATTTTCAAAAAAACTATTAAAATAGAAAGACATTGAAAATGAAATCTCAAAAATGTGGCACATCAGGACATCAACAATTTCAGTTGTAGTTGGAGCCCTCAGATTGATTGGAAAAGATTCCAATAGACTCATTGAAGTTGATTCCTGGTAGCACATGCCTTAAAGAATTACAAAAAATTGTTCTCACAAGTACAGCCCACACCTTATAAAGGGCTTTATCTATGTAAAATATGTGTGTGTTTTTTTTTTCAAAACCACTCAGTGGAAAAATGTCATGATGCCATTTCTGACCTTAAATCTCTGGTCAGGATCTGGAAAGAAATGAGTATACACCAGAAATGAAAGGAAATAAAATAATAATAATAATAAAACAATAATAAGGATAACAATAATAATGTAATAATGTAATATTCACCACATAACATTAAATCTTGCCTGATCTGCGGAAATTCCATGGGTGTTGATAATTTAGATACCCCCATTATCTAATGCCTTTACAAACAATATTTACATTTTTTTACAATGATGTTCACCCTGTACAAGGCTCAAGGGACACTTGAGGTAGAGGCTTACTGAGTAAGAGGCACAGCTTATGCGGATATGTGTGGAAGATAAGGTTAACCCTAGACTTGAACAGATTAAGATTGTAGTGATTGGGAAAGCATCTTCTTTGAAGTCAGTTCCACCATGCAGTGGTTTATGGGAAGAAGCTGCTCAAGTGGGACTTACAAAAAATATTTGGAGAAAAGACAAGGGGAAGCCACATAATGTCAATGAGAATGTGACTGAAGTCAAGATGCCAGGTCAGGTTTGAGTACATTACAGAATAGGAATACAAAGGGAATGAGGGTAGTTCACTATAATGTGTGTAGCATGGAAGGTCTTATGCATGTACTTGTGGAACTAAGGAGTGTAGTTTACCTGAAGATTTTCCATGGAAATAGCAATAGAGCATTGAGAGGCTTACAACATCTCTTTTCTCACAGATGAGACATCACAAGCCTCTCTATGTAGGGTGGAAAATAATTTATCACCCACAAGGATGGGAAGATGCTTTTGGACTCTGTCAAGAATGGAAAGGAAAGACTGGACAGCACCTGCCGATATATGGCAATAATACTCCATTTTCGGCCTGATCTAGCTCTTGTAAACGTAGGAGATTGCAGGAAGAGTGAAGTACTTACTGGAGCGGTACAGAAAACTGGCCATTTTTCCAGCATCTTTAATGGTGGATCATATGTTCCATTGCTAAAGATGCTGGAAAAACAGTTGGTTCCCCATACAGTTCCAGTACTCTTGCTAGCATCTTGTACCTCACTCTTGCTTTCATCTTGTACCTCACTCTTGCTATCATCTTGTACCTCACTCTTGCTATCATCTACCTTTACAACAGCCAGATCAAACTGAAAATGTAACATATTTGCACATAAATTTAATGAAAAACATGAGTCATTTTGTTCCTTTACATTTCGCCATCTTTGAGAGAGCTTCATGATTCCATCCTCCCAGCACTTTCTTGGTGATGAACTGGCCTAAGTGGTTTTTACAGAGAATTAAAATTCTTCCAACTAAGAGATTTTTGTAGTAATCAAGTGTTAATCCAAAGATGCAAGATGAAGTAAGTACAAGTGGGTGTAGTAATATCTGCTGGGTCTGCAAAGTGACATGAGATCTGGTATCATCCTAATCAAAGACAATACCAATTATTATATACAATTTACTATACAATTTATTATATCAGTAGAATAAAGATCTGAAGAATTGGAAATTTGAGAAAGAATTGAGACTATCCATCCTGAGGACAGCCCTGTTGGGGTTTGCAGGATACTGGGAAAAGAGCTGAGGTTTTGGAAAAACTTGCTGTTGCTCAGTCTTCAGACAATAAATATCAAGTTTGAAGATGGATGTGCATCAAATAGAATAATTTTGTATCAGTCATGCTTTGAAGTGTTTTTTTTTACAATGATGTTCAACCTATACAAGGCCCAAGAGCCACTCGAGGTAGAGGGCTAAAGAGTAAGAGGCACAGTTTATAGGGATATGTGGGGAAGATAACAGTTAAACCTAGACTTGAACAAGTTCATCATGATAGGAGGAGGGTGTAGAGATTCCTAAATTTCTTGTTCTGGTGCTCCTACTATATATCTCAAGATTCTGTAATGTAATCAAACCTGACCTGGCATCTGACTTCAGTCACTTTCTCACTGACATGATATGGCTTCCCATTGTCTTTTCTACAAATATTTTTATTGTTTAGATGAGATGTCCTTAGTGCTTCAACTGCATGAATTTAAGTGTTCTACTAAATTGACAACTAAGTCTCACCATTTTACTATTGAAGTAGTTAGATGTAATTGTATGTACTGTCCTAATAGTTTCTTTTCTCACACTTCTCACCTGTGGAACTCCTTTCCAATTTCTTGATTGCTTGCCAACTACAATATTCAAAAATTTAAATGCAGCATCAACTGCTATCTTCTGTCTTCCTGAAACCTGTTCTTTTATTGTCCTTTTCCTTACTTCTCCTCACTTAAGACTTCTTATATTCTTTCTCTCTCTCTAAATCCCTGCATCCTAGTGGCATTATCACCTTAATTGGGGTGAAATGATTAAAAGAAATTTTTCATTTTTTTTTCTTTTTAGATATAAATTCAGATTTAAATATCCAATGTTCTGAATTATACTAATTTCAAATGATTTCTCAGAAGAACATTGATAGATTCTAATTCTTCCTTTCAGGTACACTGAAACAGAATCATTTAAATCCCTAAGGCTTTCTCATAACGTCACATCCATTTGCTAGCAAATGACTGGAGGCTAGTCAGGTATTAGTTCAATCATCCATAATAGATAAGGTTAATTTCCGATAACATACCCAGAGAGAAAACTCTGGTTTCATACAAGAGAAAATTCTTTTCCCTAGAAGCAAAAATTCAAATACTTGTATGATTTCAATATAGATAAAGGAAGGTGATGAAGGAAAAAAGGATCCTTTTGGACAAGGACTTCATGTCTGTTTTTGGAACCTTGCCGTTAACCATTTCCCAGTGGATATTTTTCACATGAATCATATCTTTCTTCGTTAAAATCTACAAGATAGATCTTTCATTATCTGTTGTCATTTTTCCACACTGTTGAATACTACATTATTTGCTTTCTTCTTTAATCTGCTTTAATGTCCCTTTAGGATGTGAACGATCATAGCTCTCTACAACTTCCTATCCTTTGTAACTCTGAACACTATTTATCCCCTTACTATCCCTCCCAGTCACTGTTCTACAATCTATGTACACAAGCTTGCTAGATAAGTAATTCTCTGTTTCCCTCTTGCTTTCAATATACCCTATGAGTGTCAATTTCTCCAAACCCTCTTTCTCCATTATGTGTCCCAGAAATTTCAACTATTTTTTGCCCTAAATAGAAGTGTCCTTTTTGTTACCATTTTCGTTAAAACTTTCTCACATATTCCCTTCTCAGCTTCTTTCTGTAGAACCACATCTCTTTCCTCAAGTCTCCTCTTCATCTGTGAGAAAATTGTCCAGTATTCACTGCCATATAGGAAAATTGATATTACATAGTATTTCTGCAATGTTTTCTTTGTTTATAACAAAATTTTTCAGCTTCTTAATACTTTGTTTAGCTTTTAGAAGGCATCTTTTGCTATTCCAATTCCACTTCAGATTTCAGTGTCACATTTTCTGTTTTCTCTTATAACTTCTCCTAGATAGCTTAATTTCTGTATTTGTTTGATTTTCACATCTCCAATTCATGGTTCACATCTTAG